AGCTATGTCCCCAGCCCAGCTGGTTTTCTATTTGAATGAAATTGATCAAGAATCATGAGGTTCAGGAGTAGCAATCTGGGTTCTTTAGAGTAGCTAACAGTTTCTGAATTCTTAATTTGTATATTCCATGAAGTTCTAAATACTTACCAGGAATTAAACTACTTTAATCCTCCCAACAAATTATCAACTGTGGGATCTTGGGCAATTTGCTTAGCCTTTCCAAACCCTGATTTCATTTCCAGAGAACGAAAGAGAGGCTTAGAAGATGGATTTGTTTGAGTTCACTCAGTGAGGACTGGAAGGGCCAAGCAAGGACCCAGTCCACTTCCTCACCACTGGCCATGGCTTCTTTTTAGAATTAGCCAGACAAGCAGAGCTGGATGCTCCCAAAGGTACCCTGTAGCCCTCACATTCACTTGCACCATGTGATTCTTCTAAAACTTAAATGCACAAATGGTCATGAATAAGAAATGCATGAATCCTTTTCTAAGCTACCACTCTAATCTTTGAGACTGACCCTTCAAACTAGGTGGCCTATAAATGATTTTTGAAAAGCTCATAACAACTGCTACAATGGCTTCAAATGAAGGTTCTGATGAACTCATGATCTTGAAAACATTGCTATCTCTATAACAAATGTATGACTGAAAAAGGGGTGATAAATCACAAAATAAATGATCACTACACATCAACTTCCCTTTGTGAGAAAAGAAATCAAATACAAATTGATTGAAGATCATTTCAGAAAAAAAATAAGCAAAAAAAATGACATACATTAATTTCTTAAAGAACGATTAGAAAGAAATCTTACAAGACAATTTGGCATTCACCAAAACTCTGCACCACAGCCTAAGACCACATAATTCATGAATTTAAGGATGAGGGGGGCAGAGCATGTGGCTTCGGCAAAGCTTATGTTTATAGGAAACACATGGGATTTACAGATGCTGGATCTGGATGTGAATCCCAGCCCTGTAGTTGTCTAGGAATGTGTGGTCTTGCAAGTTACTTCAACTTATAAACCTCAGTTTCTGCATCTGCTCAAAATGGAATTACTGCCTCATGGCAAGTTATTTGATGGTACAGATAATACCTATGATATGCTTGGACATGAAAGTTTCTCAATAAATTGTAGCTAATAATAACAAGTACAATGGTATTGATAATTTAAAAAAATATATATTGTCACCAGCAGAGAGAGTAGGTGCTAGTTAGGCGCCTCAGCCTGGAGTGGACCCCTTGTTTTGTATCCTTGGCTCTCCTTTCCTCTGGCATTCATATTGTATTTAACAATGATCTCAGTTGATCTCATTCCTCTCATACCATCTACATGCCTTTACTTTAACATCTTAGGCTCTTCCTGAGAGCAAGGTACTTCTCAGCCACACCACAGCTAAAAAGTGGAGCTAACAAATACACTTATGGTGAGGATAAATGGGTTCATCTGTGAAAGCTTAAAATCATATATGACACAGACACATTATAAGAACCAATTAAATGCTAGGAAGTGATGTTGCTGATGTTGTTTTAATCATTTGGTGAAGGTCATTACAGAACCAGGACCAACCATCTGGATAAAAACTGCCCCATATAATGTTGGTTAATAAATTGGAAATAGAAGAGTATGACAATTCTTGGCAGTGAACAAATAGTGTTTCAGACTAATGGCCAGAATAATAAAACACAAGATGTTATCTCAAGGGCAAAACCAAAATTAGGTTGCAGATTATAAGGAGGTTCAATCAATTAACTGGGTAATCCTAGTAGAGACCCAGGGTTTCCAAAGTGCTTCACTATAAGAGGAGTTTGAGAATATGAAAGATTTTGAGACTCAAAGCCAAATTTTTTTTTAATGATAAAGAATAATGAGGCAAGGAGAGTACATATTGCTTCCCCCACCCCAAAACAAAACAAAACAAAACAAAACATTTCCTTTTTTCCCTGTGTCTTGCCATTTTTCTAAACTCTTTTTTGCCACGTTTAGAAAAATAGCATTGATCCCACTGCGTCACTTCCCCACATACCACTTAAGACATTCAGCTACCTAAACAAATGCAATGAACAACTGCCATTCTTATAAATCTTCCAAGAAACAGCTATGCAACTAGAGAATCCTGGTTTGCAAAGATAACATATAATCCTGTTGCTTTGGGTGTGGCTTTGTGCAGAGGGATGTAGGGGCTGGAATTCAAACCACTGCCTCCAATATCTCATAGATAAGAATGATGACACTTGAGCCAGGGTGAAGAACAGGGTGTCCCTACAAGCTGTCTAGCCTTCAAACCTTCTGAAGCACCCACTACTTTGCACAGGGCCCGATAAGAGGACAGCAGCCCAGTCAAGGTCCTTTGGGTCTCCAGAAAAAGTAACAGGGAGGAACTTGAAAGAACCCACTTCAGGGTATGGGATGAGGAACAAGAGGCATGTTTTTCAACAGTTGTGAGTGGTTGCAGTGCACCCCTCAAGAACAGTAACTTCAGCAGCCACTTCATTATATTTCTACTGTAAATGATACAGGCCTGAGCCAAGTCAGCACCAAAACTCCCTACAGAATTTAGTGGAGGTTAGGTCATCTGCACTCTATTGACAACTGCTGAACTGAAAACCTCTAACAAGGCATCTCAGCAACAGTATGTGGCCTGCCACTAATGAGGCTCTTTTTCCATGAATAATGAACAAGAACATCATCTCTGTTGCCAGGTACACAACATAAACAAAGCTCAACACAGGCCCTTGATATGGTGAGTTTGTCCATTTGCAACAAAGGAATTTTTCAAAGTGTGAGCCAAGTTTTAGTGGAGGGTGGGACAGGCTGTTGTAACAAATAATACGAACATATGTTATCAGAATCTAATAAATCAGCTTTTGGTTATTGTGGAACAGAGGCTATGCGATGGGACACAGGGAGACAATGAATAGCTCCAAATGAGTTCATTTCTTTATTTTGCAATCAGTTTTATAACACAGGCTGATGATTTCTGTAATGAACTGAGATCTTCATGAAAGGACTCTTATGAGACGTGTGATCCCCAAGGCACTATTGGTTAAACCTCTATTTCTTACGCCTTGATATATCAGGCTGAGTACTGGTCAGCAATGGGATAGGAACACTGGAACCTTGTTGTGGCATTTGGAAAAGTGCACTGCCACCTGAACCCATGGACATAGGACTAGGTTTCTTTGGTATTAAAAGAAGCTTGGGCTTGGTTGTGGCTTAGTGGTAGAGCACTGACCTAGCATGTGTGAGGTACTGGGTTCCATCCTCAGCACCACATAAAAATAAATAAATAAAATAAAGATTCATTGACAACTAAAAATGAATTTAAAGAAGAAGAAGAAGAAGAAGAAGAAGAAGAAGAAGAAGAAGAAGAAGAAGAAGAAGAAGAAGAAGAAGAAGGAAGAAGAAGAAGAAGAAGAAGCAGCAGCAGCAGCTCAATGTGTGGGCACTGTGGCTACAGGAAAGCCCCTTAGCTTAGGCTCTCAAGCTTAGACCACTGTTTAGCAGAACAGGAAAATTCCAGCACGTAAACAGAGAATAAAAGTGAGCTGACATGAAGGCCAAACAGTCTTTATTTTGTTTACTTTAAAGTGTTCCACAGATACTTTTCTTTTTCTAAAATCAGTTCCATACTAGGTAGCACATATCTTCTTACACAGGGTGTTCATGTCCACATAGCAAAACGATGCTATCACTGGCAGAGGGCATTTAGTTCCCACCAATTTAAGCAAAAACAAAAAGTCTCAAAAGGCCTCAATTTCGCTCAACTGTAAGGAAAACAGCTCCGACCCATTTCAGAGATTCCTTATAAAGAATTTTGTGAAATTTTATGAAAAATAAGACCTAAATGAAAGTTTGCCCTACATGCTTGACGAATTCCTGAGACTTTGTGATCTGAAAAATTCTTTAAATGAATTAAACATGCTTACTAAAGAAAGAATATCTTATAAAACAAAAAAAATGATTATGCAATATCAGTAACACTCCATAATATTCATTTTACATGCAAACACATTTATTTCAGGGAGAAAGTCAACAAAATAAGACAGAATAATATGAAGTTCTACAGAACTTCTAATAGCTAGGTCATGACAGGTAATTATACAGATAATTTTTTTGTGTATGGTATTAAGAATTAAACCCAAGACTGCTTTACCCCTGAAATACACTCCTGGTCCTTTTTACTTTTTTTTTTAAGACAGGGGTCTCTCCCAGTAACTGAGGCTGGCAGCAAACTTTCTATCCCCCTGCCTCAGCCTCCCAAGTCACTGTGATTATAGGCATGAGCCATTGTGCCTGACTTATGCAGATAATTTCTGTACAAAGAATCAAATGATGAGTTCACAAATAATGGTAATATGAACAGAAGAGTTTAAAATCTCTAGGACATACCAGTTAATCTTCTGTTTTTTTAAGAACAGCAACCAGAATGGTGAAAAGACTTTAAAGCCCATTCTAAAAAAAAAAAGAAATGGGGATATTCTGCTAGTGAGGAAAAGACCTAGGGTAAAATAGGCAGGATTTTATCTTCAAATATTTACTGAGCTGTCACAAGCACAAGGACTACTAGCTGTTCTATACTGCTCCAGAGGCTCAACATGACCAACAGGTAGTGCTCACAGGAAACCAATGTGGTATCACAGCAAGACCTCTAACAGTCAGTGCTGTCCTAGACCTCTAACACTCTGCTGCCAGCACAGTGACTCCTGACCATGAAGGAGTAAAGCAGAGTGAATATAATGACCTGCTGGGGAGAGAGCACCAGGGGAGTCTGTGGGGAGGACGGAGAGGATTGGGCACAGGCCACATGATGTTTCTGCCCCTACTGAGCATGAATTAATAAAGATTCTATAAAACACCATCATGAGACTGGAGGTGAAATTCTTTGAGAATAGAATTACCTAGCTGCTATGCTACTTGAAATGATCCTTTCAGTTTAATCACTGGGACATGTCAAGAAGAGAGAGAGTTCTCAAGAACATACAAACAGCCAAGGACTCACCGTCATATTTTGCTAAGACTGCCTGAACGTCAGCATATGCTTGAAGTTCCAGAAGGGCTTCTAAAAGATTTTCATGGATGTTGAACATGCTCAGAAGAGGGAACTCCTTCATTAACTAGAAAAGAAGACACCAAGGAATGTACAACATGATGTTTGGATATACACAGTGAAATGATTACTACAGTCAGAACATTTTAAGAAATAAATATTTCTCTTTTTAAAAACATTTTTAAACTTTGTTTTATTAGTTTACTTTTTTATATGGTGCTGAGGATCAAACCCAGTGCCTCACACGTGCTAGGCAAGTGCTCTACCACTGAGCCATGACCCCAGCCCAAATTTTTTAAAAATTTTTGTACTAAGGCTTGAACCCAGGGTCTCATGCATGCTTGGCAAGTGCCCTACCACTGAACTTACATCCCCAGTCCTTTTCTTTTATTTTGAAACAGAGATCCACAAAGTTGCTGAGGCTGACCTGGAACTTTTGAGCCTCCTGACTCAGTTGCTGGGATTACAGACATGTACCACAGAATCAGGTTTCTTATTTTTTTTAAAGCTATTACCGAAGCATAATATTTTTCTAGTATAAAAGTATAATTCATAATACTGGATTATAAGTTTTCACATTATTATGTTTTAAAACCCAAATAATTTTTTTCTATTTTTTCCCTGAAATTTTAGAAAAATGGAATTTCTGGTTATAGTTTAATGTGCTTGTGTGTTTCTGGAGATCAAACTCAGGGAACTACCATGGAGCTATATCCCTATCCCAGAAAAATGGCAGGTTTTTCTTTGTGAGACTCTACTTACAGTGAAGAAAATCCAAAAAAGAAAGATTTTCATAAAAAACTTAAGAAGATGGTCAATAATGACAAAATGTTGTAGAGAAACCAAATAAGGTAAAAGCTAAAAAATAACTCACAGGCTTTCCCAGATCAGTGGTAAGCTTGTTAAAAGCAGTTTGGACGAAATCCAGAGAACAGAAGGATAAGAAATCAGGCACTATTCTTTTGAGCATCCTGCGGGGGGCGGGGCAAAGGTAAGGAGAAAAAAGTAGAAAAGTAGCTAGAAGGTGACACAGTTGAGAGAAAATTTATCAGTAAGGACAGGAGTGGTGGTCAAGAAGGAAGTTCACAAGTTCCTGCCTGGTGGCCTTCTGAAACAGGGAGTACATGGTGGGAGGAAGTTTAAAGATAGGAATGAATTAGTGGCTAATCTAATTCACAAAGGAAAAGAATAATTAGGTAAAAATATAAGGATGGCAAAGGCCATCTCCAGGACCCAACAAATTGCAGACCATGAATTTACAGAGGCTACCACTGCCATGGTTGTTGAGTCCCAGCTAGCAGTGGTCAGCAGTCCAGTGACAGCAAGACATTTAATGATGACATTGATTGTGGGCAGACCAGACTAGGTTCCACGAAAAGTGAAGGAGCAAGAGAGTTGGCTGTAATGGTGAAACAATGGTTAAAGGAATGGCCCAAACCTTCTAGGTTACATGGAGAAGAAGTGAGGTCCAAATGGAGTTAAAATAAATAAAATTAAACTTCATGGGAAAGCAAAGACAAAGAAGAAAGGACCAAGAATTTCACAGTAAAATCTTATCTTAGAGAAAGGTATCTCATTGTAAAAGACGATCAGATCCTTCATAAAGCACTCGTATATTTATGCTCCTCCAAATGGATCAACTGATTTCTACTATAAAGACTTCTAAACAATTGATAATTCTTTTTTATGACAACATCTTTAAAGCAATTATGCTGAGAGAAAAACAGGCTAATCCACTGCCACGGAGGAACTAAGTGGATGCACTGCAGGGACTTCTTCCTTTATTAGGAACATTTACCATATTGTTTTGTTTTTTAAAGCCAAGAATCATTTACCATATCTTTAAAAATAAATAATTTTCTGGAACCCCAAAGAGCATCATATTACCAGTGAAAAACACCTATCAAAATGATCATGTGTTCATGACTGACAGTCTGAATCCCACTGAGGGACCTGCAGTATTTTCATTGTTAGTAATGGAAGTGAATAAGATGACACCAGGCATTATTGCTGTTCTGAAACCAATAAAAGTATTTCTTGTTCTGGTTTACTTTGATTCTGGCTGACATCACCCTTCAATTTTTTTCTCGCTAATTAAAGTTTGTTAGAATAAAAGCTCTCTGCCACTCAGCAATTGGCAACACAATAAAGGCATTCTCTAAACTGCAACATTTAAACATTTATTGGTTTTGACCAATTCCTCAGGTAACATCAAACTTCAAGGAAAAAAATCGCATTCTGTAATTTTAAAACTGTATTTCCAAATATTAGTTGCTAAAGATTAAAAATTGAGTTTTATTAAAACCCAGTCAGACCCTGTGCACCAACATGGCAGTCTCAGATAACAGAACTTTTGTGAGGAGCTTGAGCAGCTGCTCTTTCACTAGAAGCTTGGACAGAGTATACTGTGCCGCCCCAAAATAATCACCAATGAGAGGCTTTTAAACATGAGGAAGAGCACATGTTGGGGAGTAATCTAATTCATATGACAATTTGGAAACTTAGCTTTCTTTATTTAACATAAACAAGATGGAAGAGTGAACCTTCTGCTATCTCTATCACTCTCCTTAGCCCTTTGTAATGATCTTAGAAACCAAGCCTATGAATGCTCTCCTAGCCTGTTACCTCCCCGCTGCACCACTCACTGTAGCAGCTCTCCCCACAACTCTTCTCCATCTACTGGTCCTGCCCAAAGTATAGCTGACTCAAATCCCTCTTGTGGATACCCTCCAGTCCTCTTCTTGCTTGACCTCTGCACCATTTGACAGTTTGATGAGTTTTTCCTTGAAACTCTTGTCTCTCCCGGCTTCCTTGACACCATTTTCTCCTGGGTTTTTCTGTACAGCACTTGAAGCTCCCCATCACCTGCTACTTAGGAGTAAATCAGTTTTCAGGTTATGTTCCACTTCCTCTTATAAACAGCTGATGTCTAGAATTACTTTTGTATCCAGAGTCTCAGTCTTTATGGGATGGCTCCCACATGCCAACATCCTGCTCCAACCTCTCTACTAAGCTGTCGGATCAATTTATAAATGATCTTCCTGCAGGTCAACCCCTGTGTCCTTAAAGGCAATATACCTAACATTGAATTGATAACTTCCCCTTCTCTAGATTAACCCCTCAAACTTGTTCTTCCTCGTTGGTATTTTCTATTTGGAGAACAGTGCCGTTAATGTGCCTGTCACCCTCTTCTACAACACTACAACCACTTTAGAAGTCCCCCAAATACCTTAATTAATATGTAAAAAGTGCTTATATCTTTCATCAAGTTCATAGAAAGCTGTATATGAAAAAAAATTAAAAATCCTTAAGAATCAGTACTGTCTTGTCTTTTCTCTGATGTGCTGATAATAAGTTAGCTTCTGGCCTTATACTTTGTCTAAATTGCTTAAGTAGCCACCTTAGTTGGCCTGCCTCAGGTTCACCTCTATTGATTAGCTCCTTGCTAATGCAGCAATATTCAAAGGTGAAGTGATTGGACTGTGAAAGCTGTAGCCTCTTCAGTCCATCCTAATTTAAATGAATAGACTGTAGGCAGGTGAGGCATGGCTGGAGTAGGTGAATCAGTGGGGGTGTGCCCTGGATGGATGCACCTTCTCTTCATCAGCCTATCTTCCTGGATGACATGAGGTAAGCAGTTTTCCTCTGCCTCACCCTTGGGCCATGATGTTCTGCCTCATCTTGGGCCCAGAGTAATGGAGACTCTAGACTGAGACCTCTGAAACTGTGAGCCCCAAACACAGTTTTCCTTCTCTAAATTGTTCTTGTTAGGGCATTTTGGTCATGGCAACACACAACCTCTTTCCTATATACCCTTCACAATGCTATCATAAAGGCTTCTAAATATACACACTGGATCCATCATGCCCTGGAGGGCCACAGCTATCCCACTAGACTACAGATGTGGCTAGATCCATCCCAAGGAAATAATCAGATGTGAATACAAATTTACAAATACCTTGTTTATCACATTATTTCTACTAGAAAAAAATGCAAGCATCTTAAATTTTAACCAATTATTAGACACTAAATTATGGTCAGAGTCATCCTCTGGACTATTACATGTAATCAGTAGAATTTCTCAAAGAACTTTTAATAGCATGCCCAGAAATGCTGGAAAACAATGTAACATTAGAAAAAACGGGATACAAACTGTGTTTTGCAATTAGATCATGCTTTTCTTATGTCTTTATGCATAAAACATACTTTGTTAGAAATATACTAAAAAGTTTTAAACAGTGACTATTTAAGTTTTAAACAGTGACTATTTATGGTTGGTGAGATTAAAAGTTTTTTTTTTTAATTTCTTCCATATTTTCTGTATGTTCTAATATTTTTAGAAGCCCTTTGCATACACTAGATACATTGAGGGGGGGGAGAGTGAATATTTTTAAGAATACTGGCTTCATGTCAAATTCAGGATACAATCCAAAATCTTTTGCATGGCAAACAGTCCTCCATGACCAGTCCCTGTCGGCCCCAGCAGCCTTATTTCAGTCACTTCATGCACACTATGCTCCAACAATGGAAAAGCTTTCAGTTTCTTAAAGGTGTCACCTTCACTCATGTTTCTATCTTCCAGCCTCCCAGCCCTAGAGCACTCTCCCTTCTTCCTCCTTAGTCAATCTGACCAACTCAACTTTATGACTCCTTAGCCTGCCCCCAACTATTGACTTTTTACCCTCCATCTGCAAGCGAAGTGCGCCTGACTAAACTACCAGAGTCCTAGTCACAATAGTCTCCTGATCCACCTTCTCCATGAGTGGTCTGGTCAGGGACTGATCCATCATGATGCTCTATACATACTTCATGAATAGAATGTTTTCTTACATTCTATTCCTTTGGGGACATATTCTATGAGTGCTGCCTCAGACCTACTTCAGGCTCTTAGGTTACATATCCCTGAACATGTTGTTCTTCTCTTTATATCTTCCATTATCCACATCTTGGAAAAAAGGTATAGCTTGAAACTGTAAGTTTTGACTCTACATACAGAAGAAATTTCTTTCACAAAAGTGTAAGAAAATATTTACATATTACATATTTACAGCTGCCTACATGTGTAGT